ATTATAAATCTGTACACGCTATCCATATCCGTCCATGCGTTTGATTCTTCGCGCTGAACAAATTTCGTCTCATACTGCAGCGATTATGAGAGAGAGCAAATCAATACAATACATTGAATATTGAAATCAAAGTTTTATAATAATAGTAATAGTACTAATAGTAATAATAGTAATAATAATATTAAAAGTAATAATAAAATGGCAGTGAGTTTATTAAACCGTTAAGATCGGTCAAATATTTTGACGATATGTTAACAACATGTAATACATACTAAGTTTCACCCATTTATTTAGTCTTTCATACGCACGCACGCACGCACGCGCGTGCGCACACAATCATATCTAAAAACAAATTGTTGATTCTGCTAGGTAGTTTGTGATTCCTTTCACCTCATCTCGTATAAGATGCTTGATTTATGTAAGTCCTCTATTTATATCTATACGTCTGGTAGTATATATGTGCGCGTGCGCGTGGTTTGTGAAAGAGAAGGACTGAGTAAGTGGGTGAAAATTAGTATGTATTACTTGTTGTTACTCCCTCTCAACATTTTAAAACATGTGCTTTTAGAACTAAATAGTATATTATTTAGCCTCCTCCCCCACACACAAATATATATACATGCACAGGCAACATATACACATAACCTTTTTCAAATGTGTAGGTAAATCGCATATTATTATTTAAAAGCTCCCGATTTATTATAAAAAACCGAGTTGGAACATTACAAAAATAATGATAAAATACAACTTTTCGCACGGCTGTATAAAAAAATTAGCCATTTTTAAGCTTTGTATATAAGGACACTTCGCGATCGTCTTAGAGCGCAAACACGCGTAAACACCGCGACCGCGAACGCCGAAAGATCGATCTGACCACGATCTGGTGATCTCGCCGAACAATAAATCGCCCGCGACGATCAGCGAGCTACACACGCATCGGCATACGTATCTCTATCGTAAGATATTACGCGCAGACCTAGTATGTAATATCGATACTATTTTGGTGGATAACATGTACACTTTTTCTTATTTATTATTAAATTTATTTTACAATAAATTTTGTTCTATTGTTACAAAAGAAAGTCTCAATCAATTGTTTCTACAATCCCCGTCGACAAGCTACTCCGCGCTCACCCATTTCTATCCGCACCGCGACGAGAAAATCTAGTGATCGTTTTAATTGGTTAAAAGATCTTAATCTTTAAAGAGGCTTGATTTAATAATGACCGATTCAAATCTATAGCATTATAAGTTATTGTAAATCGGATACGCAAAGTATCATTTGATGATAATCTTTATTATTACATTATACAATAAGAGTTTTTAAGAGATTAATCTAATACATATTTCATTGCAGATTGTATGCATACAGAAATAATATTAAAAAAAAACATTATATGATAGTGATCATGTTAGTAAACGTATCGCACAAATTAATATTTCAAAAAACAATTAAATATTAAAGAATTTAAATATTCGTTACACACAAAATGCTATATGATGTAAGTTTTTTTTGTTCGATTTACAATAACTTATAATGCTATAAATTTATCGCAAATTCATCACGCAGAATCTAATATACATATAGATAAATTTAAAAAAGTTATATCAAAGCAAGTACATAGAACGAAGATTCGAACACACAAATGAATTGTTTTTGTCATTTGATAAGAAATCAGCGGAGATTAAATGTGCCACGTTAATCGTAGATAAAAATATTTTTTATCAAACAATAAAAAAAATTTTTAGCTCTTTCCAATATGTAAAAAAAATCCTAATGTATTGAAAAACATAGGTTGAACAAAATATAAAAATATTTAATTAAAAAAAGAAGCATATAAGCTACGCAGGACCTAAGTGCTGAACATTAATATATATGTAATATATAAAAATAATAATATTAAAAACAGTCTTCCTTTTATCGCTTTCATCCAGAATAGAAAAAATATGGTAATTAATATCCGCTTATTATGTTGGAAGCCATGCGATCATCTTATAGATACCTTAGTCTGTTCATTTTTATGAATAATTTTTGCTTATCATTTCAATTTTTACAAAACATTTCTTTACTACAATAGTTGTGAACGAAAAAATAAAATCCGGAGAATATCTATTATTTCTGAAGGATAATGTAGAAATGTAAACTTAGTTTTTTCTTTATGTTAAAATATGTTTTAATTCTTTCAATATGAGATTTAGATTTAATTTATTTTTTCAATCCTCATCAGAAACGAAGAGTAAATTTTTGTAAGCAAAATCTTTTAACTTTCTTTCAAAACTCGAAATTTTTTGAAAGAAAAGCATTTAAGATCTTTCTCTACAATATTCTAAAAAAAGAATAAAAAATTATTAAAGTTATTATAGAATGCAAGAAATACCTTCGCGAATTAATGATGCAAGGATTTATAAATGTAGTTATATTCAAGAGAATTGTTTGACATTTTATGTAATTATATTGCAGAAAGAAATTACATAGTATTTATTTCTATTAAAAGGTTATCTATAAATAACACATTTTTATCAAAAAATTAAATGTTTTTAAATCTAATATAGGTTTAATGTGTCGATAAGCAAACATCTCATTCAATGATGTTTTTTTTGCATCTAAATCTATTTTAATAAAGATACTTTAAAGAAAGAATGGATTGTACTTCGTGGATTACTTATTATTCGATTTTCTTATTATTAGATCAATGCAGGAGAACAAAATCTATCTAAATTAAATTTTGGTCGTACGTAGAATGAAATTTTAAAATATTGCTGTCTCGATCACGCGCGGATAGACGGTCAGTCAGATTCCAGGCAAGATATAAAAAAACCATAGATCTTATTGTACTAGATCTTATAGTTATATACTTTTCCTTTAGATAAAAGGAGACAGTAGATATGTCGTATTTTTTATTCTTTAGTTTCCGAAAGTACACAATAAAGAAGGAAATAAGATATTGCTCTCTTGCTGCATTATGTAGAGACAGAAGGACAGAAAATTATTCTCTTACTCTATCATCTCGGATTTTAAGTTTAGTTTTTTAGTCAAGAGGCATGTCCAGTAAAATCTATGTAAAAGATAATCTTCTAAGTGTGAAGTCCTATCGAGTCAGCATACAGCGTACCGGCATTTAGCGTGCAAGAACTTGGCCAATCACGTCTTTATCATTATGCCAGCACAAACATCGTCTGTCCCATAAAGGGTATTTACGCAACGTAAAGATGAATAAGCCAATCACAATGCCTTTTTACAAAGCTCATTTTCAAAATAGATCAAATGTTAAAAATATCATAATGTTCAGTTTTTAATTTAGTTCGCGCCACTTTTTTTTTGTTTCACGCGTCACGATGTCTGCGTTTCGGACGCTCTCACTCTCTTCGTTTCCGGTGTGCGTGCGTGCCCGAATTCTTGTCTCTCTGCATTAGTGTCTTAACTGTTGCACGAGTGAGATGCATCTTCTTAACTACGGCGCACTTATCGTTTTCTTTTGTACGAGCACAATTGTTCTTGTAATAAAGAATATTAAACAGTGTAATGTGTTTACGGTATTGTCACCGCCTATAATATATTAAATCAAAGAGTTCATCTCTTAACCACGCCGCCACTGAGAACCATCATCCTAGAAGGGATAATGCGTGGAGGGACACATATCGCATACATTTGCGATAATTATACAAACCAATTATACAATCTAATTATACAACCAAATGATCCTTCGAGCCAGATATCACAAGCATCCGCAAGGCATAATCACCGAAATTCAAGAATAATACTTCCAGTGCCCATCGTGCACTGTTAAGCAGTAATACTGCCAGCACGACGCGTGCAGCCATTTATTCCTGGCAAACGTAATCTAAGCCCTTCTGCTGTCAGGACAAGTAAAAATTCGTTCCAGGGCCACGTTCATCCGAAATCATCATTGTGCCTATATCGTGACCTTCATCGGCCATTTCGGTTTGCCCTCAGCCTTTAAGGACTTCACAAGTGTAACGGAGAGGTTAGGGAACTTCGATACTTGTCAAAGAATTTCTGTAATTCGTAGGTCTATTCACAAATTTATCATGGATAGCGAATTGATCAGGCAATCCTTAAAAGGCACTGCACTGTAATTAAGGCCGCGTGCACACGCAAATTCGTACGTTAATTCTATACATTCGGTTTCACCGCCGGTAACCGACGATAATAACTCAACTCGAAGAACGAAAATTAAAGCTAAATGATTATTGGAACGAAATGATTATTGGAATACGTCAATGTACAATCTCAATTAGAAAAGTTCAATGAATCGGAAGAAAATGACAGAGTCGCATTCGAGGAAGCCTTTTACTCTTTCCACTAAAATACGAGAAATGTTAACTCCATCTTACTTCTAAACTTCGCGTAGCATAATAATGCCTTCGCCAATACTCTCAAGCATGTCTGAGTTACCATATTCCGCTTTATACATGCGTTTGCCAAAACTAAATTTTCCAATTTTTATCGGAAAATATGACGAATAGTTTCCATTTTATGATATATTCCACTTGGTTATACATGTAAATCCATCCATATCCAACATTCATAAATTGCAATATTTAAAGGCTATCCGGAGATGCAAGGAATGTCATCAGCTCTCTCGAAATATCCGATTCAAATTACGCAGTTGCATGGAATCTCCTAAATGAGTGATACGATAATAAAAGACTCATAGTCCAAACTCATATCAAGGCCGAAGTATTTTTGGGATGTTGACACAACAAAATGAATTACTGACAAATCAGGATTTACTGTGGCTTCAATCACTTTGATATATATATATATATATATATGACCAGCATTCTCGCATGCAAAATCCCAACAGGAATCCGGCTGTGTCGATTCCTGTAGATGCACCAAAAATCAAGATGGCCCTCGATGGCGCCATCTATCGCACAATATTACATCTTTCTTTCCCTAAGAGAAAAAAAAATTCAATGCTTCCTAGGTGGTCTGTCGAATCCTCGTCGAACGCCTAGCAGGAAGCACCTCAGCTCTAACTGGGAGTTGTGGATTGTTCCTCATCAGAGTGTATATGTATAGGAGGTCTATTAAGAAAAGATGTAGATTGTTCCTCACAGGGAGTATGCACAGAAGGGACATCAGGGCCGCTGCTGGGTTGACTCAGGAATAGCCTTTGCATGTCATCCTCACTCCCTACCACTGGAGCATCAAAAACAGGAGTTGTAGGAGTACAAGGGGAGTCGCTGTCAATTGGTGGAGAAATCTGCCGAGATGTCCTGATGCGAATTTGATCCATGTGACGTGCCACCTTACCTTGTGAAGTAAGCACTTTCATCATAGCATTCCCAGAAGTCTCTGTGACTGTACCAACAATCCACTTAGGACCACGTGAAAAATTCCGGGTCCAAACAAGGTCATCCTCCTTGGTTTTGGTATGATTTGAAGTATCATTGGCAATGTACTCTTTAAGGAGATCAAGACGACTGCGTAGTGGACGCCCAAACATGACCATAGCAGGCGAAATATTTGTCGATGCTGATGGTGTTCTTCTGTATATAAAAACCTTTCCAAGCGACAAAGGAGAGTTCCCTGTGCCGCTTTCTTTATTTATGGCGGTCTTGACTATGCGAACTGCTCGCTCAGCTATTCCGTTGGAATTAGGATGGTATGATGCTGTTCTTATATGTGTTATGTCATTTTTTGCCAAAACTTTGAAACTCTACACTAGTGAAGGCAGTTCCATTGTCACTTACTAGGCTGTTGGGTACCAAACGGGAGAACAACCCACGAAGGGCAACTATCGTCGAAGAAGATGTCAAGGACATTGGAACAACTTCCAGTCATTTTGTGCCTGCATCCACAACAACCAAAAGCATTTCCACCGGACCGCATGGTCTACATGAATCCGCTGCCATAGACCTTTGGGGCGGGCCAAGAAAAATGCTGGGAAGGAGGCATCGATGCATTCTCTTGATATTTGATACAACTTTTGACCTTCTCCTCCAAACCCTTGTCCATGCCTGACCACACTGACGAACGAGCTAGAGCTTTGATGACAGAAATTCCAGGGTGACTTTCATGTAGCTCATCAAGAATGAATTTTTGTGGAATAAAAACTCTGGTTCCTCTAAATATCAAACCCTGTTCCACAGACAATTCTCCCCGCAAGGACCAATACTCACGGAGGTCTGCCGACACTTTCCGAGGCCATCCATGCAAAATGTACTGCCTGACCTTGCGAAGCCAAGGATTGTTCGCAATTTCCGTGCTATTTGATATGCTGTGATTGGGCTATCATTCACTTGCTCCAATAAGAGTACAGAATCCGCTGGCAAAGGAAGATCTATTTCCCTGACTGGTAGAGGCAGTCGACTACAGGCATCTGCATTACTATTCAAGACACTCTTCCTGATTGTATTTTATATGCAGATAAAATTAATGTCCATCGTTGTATTCGTGCTGTTGCCATAATTTGTATAGGCTTGGATTCTGCTAATAAGCTGACTAATGGACGATGGTTTGTTACCTATGTGAACTTCCGTCCCAATAAATAGTTCCGAAAATGTGTCACTCCAAAAACTAGCCAATGTTTCTTTTTCAATATGACTGTAATTTTTTTGCGCTTTAGTAAGGGAGCGCGAAATGCAATTGGCTGATCACAATCTGCAGTTAGGTGAGACAACACTGCACCAACACCATAGGGGCTGGCATCACATGCGAGGAGAACTTCTTTTGAATTGTCAAAAT